GCACGCCTGGGATCGGCCAGTAAACCACGACTGCCCGTTCATACGCATCGGCAGGAAACTACAGAGGACAGGGGCTGACCTGAAAATCCGGAGCAGATCGCTCTTTGGAGGCGCCAAGATGCAGTTCCACATCGCAAACACGGTGATATTACAGTTGGACATAGCGCAAGAGACCAGACATCTGACGGAGCCGGAGCGTGTGCTACGCAAACAACTTAAACTCAAGGTGATTGGACTGGCCGCAATCGAGAGAGCCAGAAAGCGACAAGCATCCAGGATCATGTGGCTCGGGGCTGGCGACGCAAACTCAAAGTTTTTCCACGCAAAAATCAGAGCAAGGAGGAAGAACTACATTCATTCGATCAGGGTGGGCAACACTATCATTACTGAACAACAGGAGAAGGCATCGGCCGCGTGCGATCACTTTACAGAGATTTTGGGAAGGAGCCGACAGCGCAACTGCACCCTAAACTGGGACGAACTGCACTTGCCGGTAGTCGACATGACGGGCCTCGATCTACCTTTCACCAAACATGAGGTATGGGCGGCAATTCAGGCCTCACCGGCGGAAAAAGCGCCTGGACCAGACGGCTTCACCGGACGTTTCTTCAGGGCTTGTTGGAACACCATCAAGCATGACATTATGGCAGTTTTCTAGAAATTCTATGATCTAGCAGGAGCAAACTTCGACGATCTAAACAGAGCGCTCATTGTTGGGGATACACATAATAGGTAGGCCCACGAATGGTCGAAATATCATAAAGCATGGGGTCCACACAACATGTGGGTCCAGATAAATTTTATACAGGCATACTATCCACTCGGACAAGCAGCATACTATCCACTCGACCAAGCAGCATACCATCCACTCGACCGTACGACTCACTCGGATATATGAAGACCAGCAGACAGCAAAGCAGTCGGCATCATTCTCATAGTGAGGGCTTGGTAGTGGGCTGGTATTATGGCATTCATGCCCCAATTTGTAACATAGGAGGTGAGGGGTGGCGCATTCTATATAAGCCACCCCCCACCACTAGACGAGGGGGCTCTCTTTTTCCATCTCTCTCTCTCTCTTTTTCACCATTAGTCTCAGGACTACGGGGATCCGTTCCTCTCTCATTGTAATCTTCGGATACATACTAAGATAAAACAAAGCCTCTCCGGAGCACGAGACGTAGGGTTGTTATCTCCACCGTGGGAGGCCCGAACTCGCTAAAACCACCGTGTCACCCATATGCATCTCGATAGATCATGCTCCTTTATCCTACCCCTCTCTTATTATCGGAATCGTTACCACGACACTCATAGCACTGCTGCCTAAAAAGGATGGAGCAACGGAGATGAGCCACTTCAGGCCTATCAGCCTCATACACTCCGTGTCAAAGCTGATAGCTAAGGTTCTATCTATGCGGCTGGCCCCAAAACTCAAGGACCTCATCTCACCGACGCAATCTGCTTTCCAAAAGGGCAAGTGCATCCATGATAGCTATCAGTATGTGCAGGGCTGTGTTAGAGCGCTTCACAGGGACAGGAAATCGGCCCTTCTTTTCAAACTGGACATTGCCAAGGCCTTCGATTCAGTGTCGTGGGAATACCTACTGGAACTGCTTCAGAGAATGGGTTTTTTAGCCCACGATGGAGGGACTGGATCGCCATGCTGTTATCCTCCGCCTCCTCCATCCTGATGAACGGCGAACCGGGTGAGAAGTTCTGGCACCGACAAGGCCTGCGTCAGGGAGATCCTTTCTCCCCGCTCCTTTTCATCATCGCCATTGATCCACTTCACCGCCTGCTAGCAGCGGCTTCCGAAGGAGGGACGCTGACCCAGTTGCCGGGTCGGGGTGCGAGCATGAGGGTCTGCCTTTACGCAGACAACGCGGTCATATTCGCCAATCCATCCAAGACGGAGGTGGATACGCTTCTTGATCTGCTGACGAAATTCGGAGAAGCAACAGGGCTGCAACTCAACCAAAGTAAATCTTCAGTGGCAGCCATTAGGTGCGAAGACATCGATTTGTCGGATGTGCTACAGGGTTTCGGCGGCACTCTGATTGGCTTTCCCCTGACTTACCTCGGCTTGCCGATCTCGACGGTCAGGCTGAGGCTAAGCCACTTCCAGTTCTTGATTGACAGAATTAAAGCGCGGCTGGCGGGTTGGAAAGGAAAACTGCTCAACTTGGCAGGTAGGAGGGTTCTGGTACGTAGCGTCCTCTCCGCCCTGCCAACCTTTGCCATGACTGTTCTAAAAGTGCCAGAGAAGATCATTCGAGAGATGGACAAGGCCCGAAGGCGATTCCTATGGTGCCAGGATGACCAGCTCGCCAGGGGTAAGTGCAAGGTGGCCTGGTCGAAGGTTTGCTCCCCGGTGCGTATAGGAGGGTTGGGCATCCTAGACCTAAACAAGTTCAGCATTGCCCTTCGCCTCAGATGGCAGTGGCTAACATGGGATCAACCAACAAGGCCGTGGGTGTAGCTAAAGCCCTCGGTGTCGGAGAAGGACCGAGAGATTTTCAGTTTGGCAACAAAAGTTCAGATCGGGAACGGCCGCAAAGCAGGCTTCTGGAAAGACAACTGGATTGGCGACTACCCGCTGGCAATCTCATACCCAACAGTCTACAATCACGCCCGCAGAAAAAGTAGAAGCGTTGAAGCATCCCTCCGGAATGATTAGTGGATCAAAGATTTGCAACATGGTGACACCATGGCCATTGCACCCGATTTTCTGTCCATGTGGCGTATGTTACAGGCCGAAAACACGATGCTGTGCCCACAAGAGGACGACCGCATACGATGGAGGCACACCAGCAATGGCTGCTACTCTGCAAATTCAGCATACAACATGCAGTTTCAGGCCCCGGGTCAGCCCATGTTCAACAACCTAATCTGGAAGGTCTGGGCTCCAAACAAGCACAAGATGTTCATGTGGCTACTTCTCCAGGACAGGCTTTGGTGCAACGATCGACTTCAGAGGAGGGGTTGGCCGAACAATTACTTCTGCCAATTGTGCCTTCGCAATCTGGAAACGTCCACACATTTGTTTTGGGATTGCAGTTTCGCGCGGGAAATTTGGCTGCTCATGGCAAGGCGTTCTGGATGCTCCTCTCTATCATCATTGACCGGGGGCCTCACCTCATCAGCTCAAATATGCCAGCAGGCCATCAACCAGACTTCACCACATAACAGAAGAGCAATCAGATCAATGATCATTATGGTTCTGTGGGAGATCTGGAACGAGAGGAATGAATGCACCTTCAGGGGGGCGACTCCAAGTCATCAGCGGATATGTGCAAAGATCAGTAGTAACTTAGAACAATGGAGATTGGCAGGAGCAAAGAAATTAGAGGCCCCGTTCGGGGAAATGTTGGGAGAAGATTGATTTCAGTGTTTCCTGCATAAGATGACGGTCGCTTGACCGTCTCTTCTTATTTTCTATTCTTGATCGATCCGATCAACCTTTGTACTCTCCTTCCTGCTAAATCAATGAAGCCAGCAATGCTGGGTCTTTCAAAAAAGAAATGGCTTCCCCCAACCAAGTGGTGCCACTGATAAGAACCTGAGCCTGGCCAGATCGGAGCATGGTTTGGGTCCATTTAATCCAGCCATCAGGAAAACTTCGGTGACGAAAGATTTCAAGCAGGCAGTCCCAAAGAAATGTATCAAAGGCTTTTTGAAAATCCAACTTCAAAACAATCAACGGCAATTTCCTCTTGACAGCTGACTGTACAAGCTCCGAGGCAACGATAACTCTTTCGCAACCGAACGCCCCTTAATAAAGTTGGACAAGATAACATCAATAAGCTCCGCGATCAACTTTTGCAGTCTGTCTGTTAACATCTTTGAGATGATTTTTGTTGTAGATCAAAGAGCTCCACACCATTCTGCACCAAGACTCTGATTTTGTTTAATTAGTGACGCACACAACTGATCATATAGAAAGTTAAGACACTCATCCCAAAAATATCCGGCAAAATCAGAATCTTTGAACTGTTGTCTCATGAAAAATGTTTCTGCCTGCCCACCCAAACTCAAAATAACACAATGCCATCCAATCCAGAACAATGTTTTATAGATGCTAGAAATACAATCATCAACTTTGTATTGCCTGTGTCGTGAATTTTTAACCAGAAGATCGCAGAGTTGACAGAAAAACGGGGCATACTCAAACATCCTTAAAGTAGCGACCAGTGTAGGCGACACACCAGGGAGGATGCTTCTGAGAGTCAATAGCACCTCCACCAGATGTAGGTGTTCGCTGCAGATCTGCAGGTCACACTACACAGATCCTGCACCTTTCTCCTGTGTTGATTACTGTTGAGACAACGTTCTCTGGTAGGATCTAACAATCTTCTTGTTGGCCACAAATTAAGTTTCCTGCTACCTCCTATTCCCATCTATTCTTTCGTTCTCGACATGTTAAACCTTGCACAACTAGCAACATAGACCACTTTTCTTCTTATTATTTTTTTGACGAGTTTTTCTTCTTCTTATGAACTATGTAGAAGTAGAAGTGCCGATTATTTATGAACGAGGGGTGAGGGAGAGGTGCATAAGTGCAACACAAGTGCCTTCACCAACTGAATATTGGTGAAAATCAGTGCTAGTTAACTATCCGGTAGATGATGGTTGACGGATGAATTTAAAGCAGCACAATCTCTTCTTTTATTTACGGATGAAAGCAGCAGAATTGTATTAACTAGACTCTCCTTATTTTTAAGCATTTGAAGTTTCAGTCTTTTTTACGTGTCCAATTGTGTTTCAGTATTTCTTTTTGTTAAGTTTCAGTCAGTTACTTTTGTTAAGTTTCGGTCACTTTCCTGAACTTTCAGTCAGCATTTTATTGTTACTACCTTTGTACAAAAATATATTTTGGTATACGTGTTGCAAGAGGGTTGGCCTACTTGCATGACAGTTGTCGAGACCGCGTCATACACTGTGATATCAAGCCAGAAAACATACTTCTTGATGCTTCACTCCTTCCAAAAATTGCAGACTTTGGGATGGCAAAGCTTTTAGGAAGGGATTATAGCAGAGTATTGACAACAATGAGAGGAACTACAGGATACCTTGCGCCTGAATGGCTTACCGGTGTTCCTATTACACCAAAAGTCAATGTTTTTAGCTACGGGATGGTGTTGTTGGAAATAATATCTGGAAGGAGGAACTCATGTCCGACAGGTCCTAGCGGTGGCAACACTGATGTTTACTTCCCTGTGCATGCCGCACATAAGCTTCTTGAAGGAGACGTCGGGAGTTTGGTAGATCACAAGCTACATGGTATTGCCAATCTAAACAAGCTTGAAATTGCTTGCAAGGTTACATGTTGGTGCCTTCAAGACAATGAGCTTGATCGGCCAACAATGGGACAGGTGGTCCAAATTCTCGAAGGGCTAGTTGAGATCACATTGCCTCCGATACCAAGACTGCTCCAAGCTATGGCTGAACCGCTGAAAGCTCACATTCAACATCCTCCTTTTTTGTTTCAGGAAAACGAGCTGCATTGTGTGTCTAGACATCATAATATATGTCTGTCTTAAGACTGAAGTAGTATTTACTATACAATTGTAATGTTTGTGATTGAAGAAACAGCTGTGTTCTATATAAATTTGTAACTATATATCTTGATGTACCCTCACTGCATCATTATAATCTGGAGCCACATCGAAATAGGCGTCATAGATATTTCAGTTTTTCTCTACTTAACATGGAATTTCTAGCTTTTAAGATCCAACTTGGAAGCTTATCTTAGCGTTGTTTTTTTCTTTTTCAGAAATGATAAATCCCAAAAGTTCGGGATGTGACCATGGCAAATCGAACGTTTGTTATGGCAATTTTAGTTGACGAGGGTCATGGTCAACAAATATAAATTGCCACAAAGATGTTCGATTTGTCATGATCAAATCCTGAACGTTCGGGACTTATTGACGTCCTTCTTCTTTCGAAAGAGCTTAGAGGGTGCTTGGATACAAGGGACTATTTTTAGTCTGACTAAAAATAGTCTCTTTTAGAGGCTAAAGTTCCAAGCACCCCTGACTAAAGAGAGGCTAGAACTAGTCTTGAGGCTAAAATCTTTTAGTCATGGGAAACCTACTAAAATATGTATTAGCTCTCTCTCTCCTCATTTAATTCCTCTCCTTAGTTCTGGATTGGAGGGTTTGGAGGATAATAAATGCTCAATAACTAGATTTTAGTCTCTTTAGTACTTAGATCCAAGCATGAGTGAGACTAGCAAGTTTTAGTCCCACTACTTTTAGTCATGGGACTAAAACGTATCCAAGCATGCTCTTAGCCTTGTGTAACACCTAGCAGGGTGCTGCATAATCTACATCCTTACAGGATACTGGAAATGGCCGGCGTAATGATAGCCATGGCGGCATGGCGCGGTCATGAAGGTTAAGCCGTGTAGGCAATGCAACTGCCAAAACAGCGCGGTCATCTTCGACCACGGTATCCCATAAACTCACCAGCATAGGAAGCCGAGCAGGCAGGACGGCGGGAGCCGCAGTTTCAACCGGAGTTGGTGGAGAAGACGGCCATCTCGATCTCCGGTGCCGAAAGCTAGAAATTAAGCGAGGCAAATATCAGATAGAATTCAGTGTCGCACTGTGACGCGAATGGGATCGGACGGGGCTCACCGGTGAGGGAAATCGGCGGTGTGGCGTGGGACTCCATTCCAAGCTCGCCTCAAGAGCTTGAAGGATTGTCCTCAGCCTCTGCTTTTGCGGTCTCCGGGCACGGCAAATCGCCGTGCTCGATCGGTGCACGGCCCGCGCGACAGCGGCGGCCGAGGAGGGCGGCGATAGCGGCGCTGCTTCGCTGCCGCGGAGGTTGTGGATATGTCTGACGAGTGGGACCCGGAGGTTGTGGCTCCTCCTTCACAACTCGGTTCTCACACGGACCTCTTTGCGGTAGGGTAGGCCATGGCGCCGTTGCCGTCGCCCGCCGCGTCGGCGGCCCTCCGCCGCGAGGACCTCCTCCGCGTCGCCACTCCGCTCCGCTCTCTCCTCGCCACGGCGCCCTACGCGCCCCCGGAGGGCTCCGACACCTCCGTCAAATCCCTCCTCGCCTCACTCCTCCCGTCCCCCTCTGAACCCCCGACGGGCGGGGCCGGCAAGGAGGCCGTGGACCTCCTCCTCTTCTGCGCCACCGCCCGCGCGGCCTCCGCGGAGGCCCCCGCGCTGCACTGGGTCCCGGAGGGGCTCTCCAAGGCGGCCGCCGCAGCCATGGAGGAGATGGCGGCGATGGGCGGGTGGGCCGGCATCGGCGAGATGTTGGTGGCCATGATGCCGGAGGCAGTGCTGCCGCTGAAGGCCGTGCTGAAGGACACGGGCGTGGACGCCAATGATGCCATGATGATGGTTGGCGCCGTGAAGCCGCCCAAGGAGCACGCCTTTGTCGCTGCGCACCAGTTCCGTTGGCTGTTGTCTCAGGTTTGTGTTCGAATGCTAGTTACGCAAGAAACATTCTCTTTGCAATCAGTAAATTCTAGGACCATCCATGGCTAGATTGTAGTAAGGAGTAGTTTATTTAGGAAAACTTGACACCTGCTTGAATCAAAATGTTCAGATTACTGTGAGAAACAGAAAATGTGTTGCAGTAACTAACTTTGAAGTATTTCAGCATTAAAGGTGTTTACTGAAGTTGCTTCATCGAATGTTTCAGGTTAATTACCCCAAGCTTGGCGATCTGTGCTGGTTAGTCATTCCATGTGCTTTGACGGCATTGGATCATTGGTCACCGGATGTTAAGGTATGGTGATGTCCTTTTTTGGTTTCTCTATTGAGGATAACTCCAGTATCTGCTGAATAGCAGTGCAACTTTTTCTTCAACCGCATTCAGCTTGACCAGTAGTGCTTATTTCATTTTCCCCTAAATTGCTGTTGGTGGGCATTTTGAGTGAGAATGATCCATATGATTGACAGGAATAAGGAATGATTAGCTTCATGCACATAGCAAAGAATGTGAAAGTAACAGAATTAAGTTTGTATGAAGATGCAATACTGGATGCTTGTTGCCATAACATTCCTGCAGATGATGAGTTATATGGTATCGTGTTATTGAGGTATCAGTGCTGCTCTTGACTTGCACTCAGAGAAGTAATCCACATAGCCCTTGGTACACTCTTTTCCTACTTGTAAATTCTCCGTTTTATTCCTGTTGTAAATTCTCGGATTTTACATTGGAGTATGGGTATTTTGAAATGTATAAGATATTTATGATATAAATGTACTACTCATCTGCCACTTTGAGAACTGTGGTATAGCCTTTTTCTTTTGCACCAAAATGCAATTGAGGTCCTGGTACTATATCTTGATGGCCCCTGGAGATCCATATTTACAAATGGAATGGCGATGGCTCTCGCGTGCGCTGGCTCTGGCGACGCCCTAGTCGCCTCGGCGGCGCCGCCGCCGCCGCCCTCGCCCCTGGCCTCGCCCGCGGCCGGCCCGCCGGCGCCCCCCTCGCCCGATTCCCCGCCGTCTCCTTTGGCTGTTCCTCCGCGCGAGTCCTGGGCGGACCTCGCCGAAGCTGCCAATGTGGCCGCGGGCCGCCCCATCGCCTGCCGCGACCGCATCCCGCCTCGCGCTCCAGTCCGGCCGCCTCCATCCGTCCCTGCCAGCGGCCTGACTCCCAGGGGTGGGAGTTCGGCCTCCCGCGGGACCGATCGGCGCCACCGGCGGCCGTCTCCTGGGTCGAAAGGGGACGCCTTGGGGTCTCGGGCCCCTCCCCGGCGGCGTCGTGCTGGCGGCTGGGGCGTCGCCGGCCGCGCCGACCGCGGTGCTGCGCTCGACTCCTGGCGGTCCCCCGCGTTGGCGGCATCCGCCTCTGCTCCGGCCGGCCAGTCGCCGGCGGCGGTGCTCGCGCTCTCGAGCATCCTTGTCCGGAGAGCCCCCTTTCGCCCATTCATTTCCTCCTTCGGGGCTGCTCCCTCCCTGTCTTCGACCGGCCGGCATGTCGTGCCCTAGCCGCGTCGCCCCCGTCCTGCCCCGGCGGCGACCTCCGCGGCGGTGCCTGGGGAAACCCTCGTGCCCCGGTTGGTTGCCTCGGGCCGGTCGTTTCGGGCTGCGCTGCTGCTGGGCCTCCCTGGGGCCCAACCGGGCCTTCCCCCGGGCTGTCGGCTGCTGGACCCCCAGGTGGGATGCGGGCCGCCGACCGCTGCGTGGGCCGGCCGTCCAACCCGGCCGCGTGTGGTGTGGCCCAGCAGCGCCCCTCGGCGCGGTCTGGCCCGTCCCGGCGCTCGATTTGGCCCCATGTAGGGTTTCCCCGTGCCTCGCCCCTCGCTCCCCATCCCGCCGCCACGCAGGCCGCCTCCCTTGTCCCCTCCGGCCGCCGCACCCCCTCGCCCCCCCTCCCCCGCCGGCCATGCCCCGGGACTGGGGCGATGCCGAGCCCCGCCCGAAGCGGCGTGTGGATGACCGCCGGGATCCTCCGCGCTCCTCCCCCGACGGCCTCCGGCGGGAGGCTGACCTTCGGAGCCAGCTCACCTCCCGCCCGGCTCGCCGTTCCCCTGCTCGCGACCCCCGCCGCTCCCCTCCCTGCCAATCACGCCGCTCCCCGGCGCGGGATGACCGCCGCTCACACTCGCCAGCCCGCCGGGATCCGCCTCGGGAGGACTCTCGGGACCGGGCCAACTTGCCTGCCCGAGGCCGGTCACCGACCCGGCGCTCGCCGGCCCGTGACGGTCGTGGCTCCCGCCGGCCTTCCCCTCCGCGCCAGGCTCCTCCCGCCTCCGGGTCCACCGCCCCTGAGAACCGGCATTACCAGCCCCCGCGCGCCCAAGCCGCTTTTCCGCCATCTAACGGTGGCAACGGGAACCGTGGGCGCCCGGGCACTAAGAAGAAGAAGGGGCCGCCTCGCCCTCCACCTGCCGCCTCCTCCGCCGCCGTGGTGACCCCGGCCTCGGGTGCCGTCGCCGCCCCGGAGGGTCCGCCGTGCTTCAACTGCGGCCTGCCCGGCCACTTCCAGGTGGCTTGCCCCAACCCACCGACCTGCTACCTCTGCAAGGAAGCCGGGCACCCTGCGGTTCTCTGTCCGGAGCGCCCGGTCACGGAGGAGATCATGATGTACGGCCACGGCATCGAGGACATGGGCTTCTTCCACATTGAGGTGCCGGAGCTCCCGCCTCCCTCCCCCTCGCTCCTGGCCCTTGTGACGGTCGTGGGGGAGGGCGTCGCCACTCCGGAGCTGATCGAGGCCGAGCTCAACCACCTCTGCCGATGCAAGTGGGATTGGCAGGTGACCTTCACCGCGCCCAACGCCTTCTCGGTGATCTTCCTCGACGACCTGAGCATGGGCCTCTGCACCCGTAGCGACATCATCACCTTGGCCCTCAACGGGATTGTGGTGAACATTTCCGAGCCGAGGTGGGATCCCAAGGCTGTGGCGGTCCTCGACACTGCTTGGCTCCTCATCGCCGGCCTCCTAGACGTGGCCCGGTCTGAGCGGGTCATTCGCAGTATGTCCAAGATCCTGGGCAAGGTGGTGGTGGTCGACGAGCTCTCTCTGCGCAAGGAGGAGGTCCGGGTCAAGGTGAAATGCCTGGACGCCTCCAAGCTCCACACCACGCTTTGGGTCTTCTTCAACGACGACGGATACGACCTCACCATCTGCCCCGAACCGCCGAACCACATCGGCCGCCCCCGCCTCTTCGCCAACAGCCTCCAGGGGGGCGGGCCCGCGGATGCCGATGGCTCCCACCACCGGCGCCCCCGCCACTCCTGCTTCGACGACCACGAGGAGGACGACGACATCTCTGAGCGCTCCCGCTCCCCGTCTCGTGAGCCCGCCAACCCCCCCTCGGGTCGCGGCGGCTCTGGGCAGGGCCGCACCCGAGTGTCTGCCGCTGACCTCGCGGTGGCTCTTCAGCTGGCCGCACCCCCAGTGGCGCCCTCTCCCCCTGCCTCGGAGTCGGCCAGTGACATCTCGAGTGTTGGTCTGCTCGTCGTGCCCCCCTCGTCGCCCCATTCTCCGTCCGCCAACTCCGCTCGCCGCTCCTCTCCATCGGATCCGGAAGCACCGCCCCCCCCCCGGCCCCGACCCCTCCGGTCCTCACGGGTGGTGACGGTGGGACCCCTCCCCTCGGAGAGCCCTCTCCGGTGCTCCCGCCTGTGGGGGATGCGTCTGGTGACACCCTGCTGCTCGTCGCCCCGCTTCCCCCGCTGGTGGCCCCCGACGCCCACCCCACTTCCCCTGCCTCCCCGGCTTCGGCGGTGGCCGTGGTAATCACCACTCCGGTCTCCGCGATCCCTCCCCAGACGGTGGCGTACACCAGGCGGCCCCGCTCCTCCTCGACGCCGGTGACGGCGTCTCGCCGCAGCACCCGCCTCGATGCGGCCCGCCCGGCCAATGCCTCGGTTCCGTCCATCGCCGAGCGTGCTGAGATCCGAGCGGCTGCCCGGAACCTCGAGTCAGGTGTGGATTCCGCCCTCCCCAGTTCTTCCTGTTGTTCCTTTTCCGCGCTTGAGGCCGTTCCTCTTGGACACCTTGCCAAGGTGGCCACTGACTCGGCCATCGTTTTCAGGGGGGAAGTGGGTCCCCCCTTAGAGCAGATCGCGGCCATTAGGGCTCGCGAGATCCTGGATGGTAAGCTGGCTGAGACTCGGGCTCGCCTGCGTAGGACCCCTGAGGACCAGACTGCCCGTACCGCTGTTCAGGCCCCTCCGGTGGTCGACGGGGCTATTCGTGGGCGCACTCGGTCCCGCACTGCTGCTCTCCGCGCCCAAAGCGCATCTCGTGTCCTGGGGTCAAGCAGCCCCCCGATGGGGGCTTAGATGCAGGCCCTTTTTTGGAACATCCGCGGCTTCGGTCATGATGGCCGACGCCGCCAACTAGTCGAATACATGCGTGACGAACACATTGACATCATTGCGATCCAGGAAACCTTGCGTACTGAGTTCTCCCTCCAGGAGCTTGACTGCCTCAGCTCTCACCTCTTCGCCTGGCATTGGCTCCCTTCTAGTGGGACCACGGGCCACTCCGGTGGCATCCTTTTAGGGGTTAAGGATGCCACCTTCGAGGTGGGCGGCATGGACCGGGGCGAATTCTTCGTTAGCATGGAGATTCTTGAGCGAGCTCTGAACTTCAAATGGGAGGTCGTGGTTGTCTATGGTCCGGCGGATCACCACCGTTCCCCGACCTTGTGGAGCTCCACCAAAAGATCTCTGCCTCCCTCCTCCCAGTAGTTGTGGGCGGAGATTTTAACCTCATCCGTTCTCCGGACGAGAAGAATAATGATAGGATTAACCTCCCCCGGATGCAGTTGTTCAACGACTAGATCGTGGAGCTCGGCCTCCGGGAGATCGAGCGGACGGGGGCGCGATTCACCTGGACTAACCGCCAGGCCGACCCGACGCGATCCGTCTTGGATCGTGTCCTAGTTTCCCCGGAGTGGGAATTGAGGTGCCCCCTGACCTTGCTCCGGGCGATTACCCGGATTGGGTCTGACCACGTCCCTCTCCTCCTATCCTCTGCGGACGAGCGCCCCCCCTCCCGCCGCGGTTTAGGTTTGAGTCCTTTTGGCTCAACCAGGCCGGCTTTCGGGATGCGGTCTCTGCTCGTTGGACTCTTGCTCGCGCCTCTCCCCATCGCTCCATGTCCGCCGTTGACTCGTGGCACTTCTGCGCCAAGCTTGCCCGCCAATTCATGAAGGGCTGGGGCGCTAATCTTGGCCGTGACCTCCGCGAGCGTAAAAGATCTCTCTTGTTGGCTATTCAGGCTCTGGACGCCCGGGCCGACTCCTCTGGGCTCTCCCCAGATGAGTGGATGCTGAGATATGATCTTGAGGATCAACTCTCCTCCATCTACACAGATGAGGAGGCATACTGGAGGTTGCGTGGTACCCAAAGATGGGTGCT